GGCATAGTTGCAAATTGTTCTCCAAAATGGTTGGATCATTTCACAACTCCACCAACAATGCATTAGTGTTCCAATTTTCCCACATCTTCTCCAACATTTATCATTTTCCTGTTTTGTCATCCCGGCCAATCTGATAGGTATGAATGTGGTACCTCAGAGTTGTTTTGATTTGCATTTCTCTAATCAATAGTGATTTAGGGCATTTTTTCATATGACTATAGATGGCTTAAATTTCTTCGTCTGAGAACTGCCTGTTCCTATCCTTTGCCAGTCTGGTGGTTTTAAAGAAGCAGCCTGTTCCATTATGAAAGCCAATAGGAGAGGCTGCTTCCCTCCACGTAGTAAGGAAATGCAGAAAGTCACCTTAGGAGATCTGAACATTTGCCTGGGCTTGGGCTTAGGGACGATCTGAGTTCAAATCTTGTCTCTTACTAGCTGAATAATCCTGGGAAAGTATTTAATGTCAGTTTCCTTGTCTGTATGGTGAGGCAATTAGACTAGATGGACCCTAACGTCCCTTCTACCTCTTCATCTCTTATTCAGTGGGCATCCTCAGATTCCTCCCCATAGTATAAAACTGACTCCCAGTTCCCAAAGGCAGAGAGTACTAGCCCAGCCCCAAAAGGCTAGCTAAGTTTAAAAAGTCTGATGACCCTAGGGCACTGGCCACAGTTTTTCATCCATAGCAATTCAATTGTTGAGGAAAAGCTTGCAAAATTATAGGTCCTTTTAAAACATAAAGTGGATCGAAAATCTTTAAAAAAGGAATTTACTGCATTTCAACAAATTAACCAGGGTTTGACATTACCCCCTGCCCCCCAAACCCCTCAAGGGAAAACTATCATTTCTCACAAATAATATCCGTTTTCTTAGATTCTTCCACGGATTCTTGATCTTAATCCCTCCATGCCTTCTTGCAATGTGACTCTTGTTCATGTCTCTGTGGTCTTTAAAGGGTCTTCCCCAACTGATAGGTGCCTTTTTTTTCTTTTTTTTTTTAAGTAAAATTGTAGTAACAACTTTTGTTTTTATGCCACCCGGATTCCCCTACCTGTATCGCTACCCTTCTTTCTGTTTCTTTTATACCTTGAGAGTGCCAAGGTGTCCATCTATGATCTCTCATTCTCTAGACCTAACTGGCTCATCCATGTCTTGGGAAGTGTCTTTTAACCTACTTCTCATGCATTTATTGTTGATTGGCTGCAGTCTACTTACTCCCACCATGTGTTTTTTCATTGATCTTAAAGATTTTTTTTTTAATGCGCTAGGTCCAGTAGGGAAAAAAGGCTTTGTTAGCGTTGCTCTGATGTTAAGGTTGGGCGTTTGAATGGTGGAGAGGCAATGACTATAGAATGGCCAAACAATTATGTCACGTAAATGTAATGAAATACAATTAGGATATAAGGAATAACAAAGGTAAAGATTCAGAGAAACATAGAAAGATTATGACATAAAAATGGTTCAAGGATTCATTGATAGGTACTGCTGCTAATCATGCTTAACATACTGAAACATTTTAATAAGCAGTTTATTATATTCTCTGAGCATAGAATCATGGTATAAAAAAACCAGTGCCCTCTCCACCCCCCACTCCCACTCCCAGCCTGTTCAACAACCGTATATAAATTTTAGCTATAAAGCAGAATATAAAGTGGAATTTCACAGCTAGTAGAAGGGGAAGATAAAAATTTACACACCAAAGAACAGATAGCAGTAGGAAAAGGTCTACATCAGGTAAAACTATAAACTAGGGATAAAGCTGCCCTACCTTCCATCTAATCAAGAACGCAAAGAAGACAAAATTCATTACGTGTATGTATAGTCAATCAAAACAAATTTCCTCATTGACCGCGTCCTTAAAAAAAAAATTAGTCTTGTTCTGCATATGAGTTTTTCACCTCTGTAAGTAAGGTGAATTTTAGTGTGTGTAAGGAGGATTTTGTTATTCCTTTTTAGCTAATAGTTCCAGGATCCTAGATAATATTCCCCACGATTTATGGTTGAAAACAACTTCTACCTGTGCACTTGCGGTAGAAGTATAGGGGTGACATAATGTATGCCTGCGCTCTGCTAGGTCATGACGATATTGCTAAAGTTAACCTGTGAGGCTATGGTTGGCAATATGCCTTCTTTGTCTGTTGCCCTATAAATCAAGTGGGCACTGGTCAGTGAGTGGAGAACCCATTTTGGGATTTGGGTAATGCATAGAGGAATGCACGTACCTGCCTTCATCAGCCCCCATCAAGGCTTGAGAGGATTTAGGAGAGTGCACAAACTAGAATTCTGTGCCTGCCTCAATTGACCCTATCGAGGTGTAGGGGTAGTTTCTCCCACTTCTTGCTCACCTCTTGGAGAAGAGTGATTAGGGCATGCTGTAGATGTTGGTGCTCCCATTATCAGCAACCTTCTGGAGAAGGCCATACTACAGTAAGCTTATTTAATCCTTCTGAAGCTGTCTTCCTGTTTGACCAGATCAAAAACGCACTAGAACACCTGCTAGTGTTAGGAGCCCTCCTGTGTTCTCCTGCCCAACAAATGGTGTTATCTGTGTGTTTACCTGTGAAACAACCTGTCTGTCAAGATGTAGGTGGCATGTTTCCTTATGAGTCCTCTAGAATCCTGGTTAGTCATTACACTGATAAGAGCTCAGCACAATATATTCCATCACATTTACATACCAGAACTTGTTTAGACATCCACCAATTTATGGATACCTCCTCAGATTTCCATTCTTGGCAACTCCAAAAAGAGCTATAAATATTTTAACACCCTTAGAATTTGTTTAACACCCTTAGTACTAATACACCCCTTAATCTATCCTCCCTCTAATCCCTCCTCCCCTTTCCCTCCTGTTTCCCTGTTGAGTGAAAAGTATTTCTGTACCCAGTGCTGTGTGTACCTGTTCTTCCTTCTATTGACCAGTTCAGATGAGGGTGAAATTCAAGTCTCAGCTGCAGTCCTTCACACCCTCCTCTTTATGTAGATGTCTTGTGTATCCTCATTCTGTGAGATAATTTTTCCCAAACTTCCTTTCCCTCTCCCCTCCCACCCCAATTTGTTTTCCTCTTTTTCCACTCTTTTAAGATTCTCAAGGCATAACAGAACCACTCCCAAGTCTTGTGTAATTGAGCTCCCTCTATGAACCCTGATGGTAACAGGGATGAAAGTAAACACATGTATCATCTCACCATATTTGAATATGAGCAATTTATCCTTTTTTAATCCATCCATGTTAACCTTTTTATGTTTCTCTTCACTCCTGTTTTTGGGCTCCAAAGTTTCTCTGAAACTCTGGTATTTTCATCAGAAATGCTTGTAAGTCATTAAAGATCCAGTTTTCTTCCATACACAATTATACTCAGTTTTGCTAGGTAAGTTTTTCTTGTCCGTAAGCCCATATCGTTTGCCTTTTGGAATATCAATGTTCCAAGTTCTCTACCCCTTTATAGCAGTGGCTGCTAAGTCATGTGTGATCCTGACTTTGGCTCCTCAGCACTTGAATTCTTTTTGTTTTGGCTGCTTGCAGTATTTTTTCTTTCACCTGGAACTTCTAGGTTTTGGCTTTGATGTTCCTGGGAGTTTTCATTTTAGGGTCACTTTTAGGAGGTGACCAGTAAATTCTCTATTTACACTTTTTCTCTCTGGTTCTAAGAAAACTAGGTACTTTTTAAGATTTCTTGAAATATGATGTATAGTTTCCTTTTTTGGGGGGCACAGCTTCCACATTGTTCAATCATCCTCAAATTTTCTCCCCTCTGTTTTCCAGGTCAATTGTTTTTGCTACGAGATACCTTTTCTTTTTTTCAGCCTTTCAATATTGTTTTGAAATTTCTTGTTGCTTCATGGAGTCATTGGCTTCTATTTAGTCTACTCAAATCTTCAGGGAGTTTGCTGTACAGGGTTTTTGTACCTCCAAACCAAACTGTTAATTCCCTTTCCAATTCTTTCTTCCATAGTTCTCATTTCTTTTCTAATTGTTTCCTCAAGTGCTCTCATTCCATTCATAAAAATGTTTTAAAACTAATTTTTGCTTCATCTTTTCTAGAATTCTAGTTGAGTTTGTGCCAGAGTTGTGTTTTTTCTTCGACAATGCTTTTAGATGTTTTGGAGTCATTCTCTTTTGCATTTGTGCCTTGAGTGTCCCCAGTACCACAATATCATTATGGAGGGATTCTTTTTTTGTTTGCACGTCCTTCTAGCCTACTTCCTGACTTTGGACTTGATGTTAGAGTTGGTCTCTGTGACACTTCTGGAAAGAAGGTCTTCAATGGGCCTCTTACTGCTTTCTTGGGGTATCGAGTTGGCAGAGGGAGTAGGGCAGATAAGCATTTATGTAGTGCCTATTATGTACCAATCACTATGCTGAGTGCTTTACAAATATTATCTCATTTGATCTTCACAACAATCCTGTGAGGTAGGTGGTATAATTATCTCCATTATACAGTTGAGGAAACCAAGGCAAATATTGGTAAAGTGACTTACACAGCTGGTAATTATCTGAGGCCAGATCTGAACTCAGAACTTCCTGACTCCAGGTCTGACCTTCTGGCCACTGTGCCACCCACCTGCCTAGGAATGCTGCCTTATTCCAGGATCTCAGGGACAGACTGAGTGATTCCAAGCTCTCAGTGTTCCCAGAGTGGTCTAATCCAGGGCAAAATCTGATTGCTGCTCCGCTGGTTTGAGCGCTGCAAGTACCAGACCTGGTTTGGGGTCTGAGCAAGAGTGGGCTGCTGCTGGATTCTGCCCCTAGAGGCCTGTTCTATTGGCTCACAGCATTAGCATTGGAGGTTCCCTCGTGGTCCAGAATTCTCACCTCGGTTTTTCTTCTGTGGGCGAAACTAGGTGTTGGAAGTGAGACCTTGCTTTGTACTTGCGGTCTTAGCCACACTACTGGTGCTACTGCTACTGCTGCTGCTACCGGTTTCTGAACTTCCTCCTTTCTCAGTATTTCATCCAGGGCCCTCCCCCCAGGAAGCCACTTCGGTTTGTAGGTTCCCTTCTCACTCTGTTCTGTATATCCGACGTGGGATGGGGCCGTGGGTGACAAAGCTGCCAGCTGGCACTTGTCCCTGTCTCAGTGGTTTGGTTCTGCAGGTGCCCTGAAGTGGGTCTCTTCTTGCCCTGTGGTTGCGGCTTCTTCCTGGGCACTAAAGTGCTCCCTGCTCAGTGTGCTTCTGGCCTGACCCCAATCCCCAATGTTCCCATAGGTCCTAGTGTGTCTTCCTGTGCCAAGCTAGGTTAGACAAAGGACTCACTGTGACTTTTTCTGGATTTTCCCATCAGGATTCAGTCTGGTGCCTTTTCTAGATGTGTTAGGAAAAGCCTGTGGAGAACTCACTGCATTGCTTCCTATTACTCTACTTCTAACAACATAGTAAAGACAAACAGCTTTGAAAGATTTACATCAAATCAACAAGCATTTATTAAGCACTTATTATGTGCCAGGCACTTAAGAACACTGCTGATCAATGCGATGACCAACTACAATTCTAGAGGACAAATGAGGAAGCATTCTACTCACCTCCTGATACAGGAATGATGGACTGAAGATGCAGAAAGGGACATGGCCAATGTAAGAGTTTTTTTGTTTGTTTGACTATGCATATTTGTTAGAGGATTTGGGTTGGTTTTTTTTTTTCTTTTTCATTTGCATAGTTGGGAGGTGGGAGGGAGAGAAATGAAGTGCTTCTTAATAAAAACAAAAAAAAGGAAAGGTTAAAACAAAATAAAATAGTAAACAAGAAAAGAATGCAGGGAAAATTGAGATCACATAGGATTTGAATAATGAAAATATAACTGGGGCTCATGTTCATTTGTATAAGATAGTCCTCATTAATGGAAACTGGTTAACCAACTCAGCCTCTTAGGTGGTCATCTTAGACTAATACTTCTCCACCAAGAGTGGAGTCTTATGCAAATAGCCTTAAGCCATAGGTTACAAAAATCTTCGACATGGAGAGGAATTTAAGAACCCTTTATTTCTAACATTCACAGGAATCCTGTCTCCAGCACTAATAATCTCTAAGGTCCACTCCAGCTGTAAATTTTATGAGTCTATGAGCTTTGACAGATGCTCGTGCAGCTTCTTCTTGAATATCTCCAGTAACTGAGAGTTCATTAGCTCATAAGACAACCCATTCCATTTTGGGGACATGTTGGCTTTTTAGAAAGTTCTTTCTGATAGTAAACCAAAATATGCCTCCCTGGAATCTTTACCCATTGGCTCAGGTTTGGCACTATAAAGTCATATGGAATGAGTCTTACTCTTCTACACATCAGGCCTTCAAGATCTGAGGGTGGCTATCCTCAGATAGCCATCAGGTATGACTGCCCCTACCAGGTAGCTCTCCTCCTGCTGGGAAAACTCCTTAGGATAAACATTTCTGACCCCTTTGACTGCTCCTCGTACAACATCTCCAGCTGGTCAAGATTCTTCTTGAAGTTCAATGCGCTGAAGCAGACACAACCGATATGATCTAACCAAGGTGGCATTCCAGCTGGACTGGCACCTCCCAGCACACATACACCTGATTCCTTTCGATTCAGCTTAAGCTGCATCACATGAACTGTGCTTTGTCAACTTTGTCACACCCAGATCCTGTAGTCAAGCACGTATGCCATCTGTATTTTTAACCTGATCTCATTTACATTTATCTTTATTTTATCAGTGCTGAGGAAGGAAAGAAGGAAACAAGTCTTTATGTAGCACCTATTATGTGTCAGGCACTGTGCTAAGTGCTTTACAAATATTATCTCCCCTGGGCAAGTCACTTAACCCCATTGCCTAGCCCAAAAAACAAAACAAAACAAAAACAAATATTATCTCATTTGATCCTCACAATATTCTTGGGAGGTAAGTGCTATTATTATCCCCATTTCACAGATGAGGAAACTGGGGCAGACAGAAGTGAAGTGATTTGCCCAGAGTCACACAGCTATAAGTGTCTGAGGTCAGATTTCAACTCCCATATTCCTGACTCCAGGCCCAAGACTCTATCTATTTTGCTATGAAGCTATTTCAAGCAACATTATTTATTTTTTAGAAAGTACTTTTGTTATATCCTCCCTATTCTTCTCCCTACCTAGTCTTAATCCTCTCATTCCCCCCCCATCCAATAGGATTGCATCTCACCCTCCCTACTCTTGGAATGCCTGTTTCCCCCCCACCCCTCACCTCTTCACCCTCTGGATGCCTTATAATTTGTTTCCCCATCTCTATCTATTGAAATCCTACCATCCTTCAAGAGCCAATCATACCTCTTTCATGAACCTACCCTGATTGTTCTCTCTGCCCCAACTTGGAAATTTTCCTTGTTTCCATGAAAAGCACTCTCCTTTTTACTTGTAAAAATGAATTTGCCATGCTTGATTTTGTATTCTCTTCAGCAGCAGTTGTATAGTCAATTTAATTCAACAAATATTTTGTATACAAGAGAGATGACAATCGTCTATTATTTTTTGAGCCTCAGAAGGACCAGTTATTTTCCAAATGTTCTTCTGGGGCCCCAGGCTGTTAAGTGACTTGACTTTTGTTACAGAACCAGTAAGTATGAGTGACAAGTTTGGAATGCAAGCCAGCTCATCCAAAGCCCAGCATTCTTTTCACTACTCCATGCTGTTTCTCAACGGCAAGAGTCCATGCCTTAAGGAGCTGGCATTTTATTGGGGAGGAGGGGAGGAAACACAACACCTATACAGGTAAGTATGACACAAGATAGCATGTGATGAGGCGGATGCAAGGTCCAGACAGAGCTAGGAAAATGTGAAGGGAGAGACCCATTTGGAGCTGTGGGCATCAGGGAAGCTTCTTGGAAGAAGCTGCCCATGAGTGGAGCTCTGAAGGACAGATGAGAAGGAAGTACACTTCAGGTATATGAGATGGATGGCCTAGCTGAATGCAGAGTCAGAACACACTGGTCTGAGAAACATCTGACAGTCTAGTTTTGAATGTAGAAGGCATGAAAGGGAGTAAGTCTGAGAAGATGATATTGGAGGGCCTGAAATGTCAGGTTAAGGTTTATATATTATGAGCAATGGAAAGCTACATTTTTGATCAGGGAAGTGACATGGTCAGACCATTTTGAAAGCTTTGTGAAAGATGGACTGGATAGGATACAGATAGGAAAAAACAGAGAAACCAGGTAGGAGGTTACCTGAAACTGGGTGGTAACAATGTAAATAGAGAGAAGGGACTAGATATTGGACAGGATTTGATAATTGGCTTGTGTGATGGAGGGGGTAGGGGGATGGGGACGATAGAGAAAAAAAGAATCAGAAATGACTCTTCGACTGAATCACAACCACCAGAGGGTATAAAACAGAAGACTGTCAGTCAATAAGCATTTATTAAGCACCTACTATGTCCCAGGCACTATGCTAAGCACTGGGGTTATAAAGGAAGGCAAAAGATAGTCTTTGTTCTTCAGAAGCTCATAGTCTAATGGGGGACACAACATGCAAACATCTATGAACAAACAAGACATATAGGATAAAATGGAAATAATCCACAGAGGGAAGGCATTAGCATTAAGGAAGGTCAGAAAAGGTTTCTTGCCAAAGTTGGGATTTTAGCAGGGGCTTGAAGGAACCCAGGGAAACCAGGAGGTGGCGATAAAGAGGGAAAGCATGCCTGGCATGGGGGAGACAGGTGATGAAAATAAAATCTAGAGATATCTTATTTATCTTTAAATCTGCCCTATCACCTCCCTAGCACACTGCTCTGCACACAGCAGGCATCTAATACTTGTGTGTTGAATCAAATTGGCTTTGGCCCATCATCCCAGTTCATGGGAATATTTTTGATTTCTGATTCTATAGCACCTCCCCAGCTTTGTGTCATCCCTATAGGTTCAGTTCAATTCAATAGGCAAAGAACTGAGAACTGAGTATATTTCTCAGGACAGTCATATAACGTTTACCTCTGAAATGGAAATTAATCAGAATAGAATGGGTAAGATTAGCCATGTGAAGAAGTGCAGATGAAACATATTACCTACCAGAAGTGATGGACTTAAGGTACAGACTGAGATATATTTTTGACATATTGACTGTGAGAATTTATTTTGCCTGACTACACTTATTTGTAATGTTTCTTTTTCATCTAGGCGGAGGAATGAGAAGAAAGAAAGAAAAGAAAAACTCAAGAACTCTGTTCAAAGCAATGACCGACTACATAAAGTTCCAGAAAACTCATGAAAAAAACATATTGCCTATCTCCTGACACAGATGTGATGGATTCAAATTGATACATATTTTTTGAGCATGGCCAATGTGGGAATTTGCTTTACTTGACTTATTTACATTTAATTTACTATTTTTTTTTGTTTTATATTATAAAAGTTTTGGTTTTTCTTTTAAATGAGGGCGATGGTTGGAGGAAGAGAAAATAAATGATTGTTAGTTGCAAAATGAAATAAAATGAGGGGGGAAATGCTTACTAGGAATAGCACATTGTACATAATAGATTTGCAGTTTCCTGTCCAATCTCCTTTTAAAAATTATACTATGTTATGGAAATGCTTGTTTTATTCATAAATTAAAAATAAATTTTTAAAAATTTAAGTGTTTTACATGTAGAATAGGGGTTAAATAGACCAAGCCCAAAGCTGACCTTTTCTGATTCATGCCGACCCCATGGGCCTGACTCAGTACTGGGCTTGGTTCTTTGAAAATGACAAGGAAGGGTAAGGATTTTATTGAGCAACGACTAGAAAAAGCTGATGACTTATTTTAAAAGGAGTGACTCCTAGCCTTAGAGTTTCTTCCCTTCTGGCTACTATTTCCAGCCATACACTTAGGAGAAAAACTTAAGCTTTACATATGATAGATAGAGAAATATCATATATAAACATATATGATCTATCTGTATCATATAATTTATCCCCACAGCAATGGGATGGGAGTTTAAAAAGCTGAAGAATGAAGGAAAAAGTAACCTATGCTGACCTCTCATTAGAGGCCAGGATCCCCTAGAACTAGACTCAATACTGGCCCCCTCCATGGGTCCAGAGTGGACAGGGTGCCCTTAGAATGAGGTTGTGGGGGTGATGCACTAATAATCTCATCTGATCTTCGCTACAGCCGGATGAGCTAGTTACTGCACGCAGCATGATCCTCCCATTAGGGATGAGAAAAGTCAAGTTCAGTAAGGTGCCCAGTCACACCCCCAAGCACCTGTGATGGATGGGAAGAGATGGCCACACGGTCTGCTCTCGCTCACTAGAGCAAGCTCTTAGAGAGTCGGGACTTTTGTTGTTGTTTCTCCTTTCTAGCCAGCACTCAAGCACAGTGCCTGAGACATAGCAGGCACTGACTGATGGAGAAACACAATACGATCTGAGATTGGACAAAGAGTATCAATAGCTAGGGGAGAACAGGAAAGGCCTACTTCACTGTAGGAGGTAGCACCTGAGCGATCTGCGGCCCTGCCCTTCCAGATGCCTACAGGAGAGCTCTGATTAGAGGATCTTGTCTGCATGCTGAAAATTGAGCATATCCTTCCCACCTTGCGCAGGAGGCTGTTCTTGATGCCCTTTAATGCTAGCGCCCTCCCTACGGGGATGATGATCTCCAACTACATACCTTGTTTGTGCAGTTCTCCCCCTCATTCGCCCAGTTAGACTGAGAATAGAGACTATCCTTTTACCTTCCTGTGATATCCTGTGTATCTTATACCTAGTATAGTAGGTGCCTAATAAATGCTTTTTGACTGACAAGCTGATCTCTCTTCCCTATTTTGGAAGAGCTTTCACACTCCAAACCTTTTAGCTCCTTCGGCTGCATTTCTCCCTTCACCTCTACAGCCAATCTCTCGCTTTTCCGACTCCCCTTTCTCCCCACTTCCCTCTCCACTCCCCCTTTCTCTTCCCTTCTCCCACTCCTTCCTTTCTCTCCCGCGCCTTCCTTCTGCCTTCTGTCCTCTTCCTCCATTCTTCCCTCTCCCTCCTTCCTCTCTATCTTCCCCCTCTTTCCTTCTCTTCGTCCCCCTTTCCCTTTCTTTCTTCCCTTCCCCTTTCTCTCCTTTCCCCCATTCCTCCCTCCTCCTCTTTCCTCGCTGTCCTCTCCCTTTCCCCTTCTCTCCCCTCCTTCCCCTTTCTCTCCCCTTCCCCCATTCCTCCCTCCTCCTCCTCCCTCTCTCCCTCCTCCTCTCCTCCTTCCTTTCCTTTCCTCTCTCCTTCCCCCATTCCTTCCTCCCTTTCTTTCCCCTCCCTTCTCTTCTCCCTCTCCTTCCCCCTCCCCCTGCCCCCCTTCCTCCTCCTCCCCTTCCTCCTCCTCTCCCCTTCCTCCATTCCTCCCTCCTCCTCTTTCCTCGCCGTCCTCCCCCTCTTTCTCTCCCCTCCTCCTCCTTCCCCTTCCCTTCTCCTCTTCCCCCTCCTCTCATCGCCCCTCCCCCCTGCTCTGCAGCCTCCGCAGGCTCCGCCACGCACGGGCGTAACTGTTCTGTGCTGTTCCATGCTATGGGCCCAATCTGTGCTCGCTGTGACCCTGTTCTCCAAGGCGAAAATCCGGACACGTGGTCTACCAGACAGATGCTAAAACCAAGTAGACAAATGAGGAACTAAATACACTGGGATTGTGCATGAGCTGCAAGGCTGGGGAAGGGAGAGAGGCGAGTGTCTTCCATCTGGGTTCCAGCGTGCAAGCTTTGAGTTTCTTTTTCTGGTATCGCGGAAAGATTGCAACATCAAAGGGGGTGGAGAAACACACACGAGCTTCACACTCCCTATAGGAGGGGCAGCGCCACCGTTGTTCCACAGGAGCCCGGATAGCTCAGTCGGTAGAGCATCAGACTTTTAATCTGAGGGTCCAGGGTTCAAGTCCCTGTTCGGGCGTCTTGTCTTTTTACTTTTTAAAGCTTCCTCTTTTTTAATTAAGCAATTTGAGAAACGAAACTTCTTGTTTGAGGATATGTTTGCTGCGCTTCCTGCAAAATTCTGGCTTCACTTGACGGCATGGCGTATTGTGTATTCTCTAGGGTTCTAGGGGGATTTATTCAACGCTATCCCAAAATGTGGCAAGTCTTTTCTAGTAGTTTGGCGAGTGGTATTATAACAGCTGTTCTTAGAAAATTTTGCAAAGCAAAATGTCACTTCCGCCCGAACAGGGACTTGAACCCTGGACCCTCAGATTAAAAGTCTGATGCTCTACCGACTGAGCTATCCGGGCGCTCTGACAATGAATTCTTCCGTAGCTTACTTGTTATATTCCTAATGGACAAATAGTTCTCTGATTTGTTCCTAAATTTTGATTTGTAGCATATGTTTCTATAGCAAAGTAAAGAGCAAGAACTAACAGAACTCCTTTCTTCTTGTTCTTCGAAAGAAAACAATAAAACTCTAATCTGCTTCTTTTTTAAATTAAACCTGGATTCTTCAGTCCCATTCAGATTTCCTGTTTGGTCAGCAGCCAATGAAGGCATTTGAAATCAAACTCCTTGAAATCAAAGGGATGGCAGAAAATGAAAGAAAAATGCACACAAGGATGAACATTCTCAGAGCTGAATTTAGACATAGATTTGCATCTTCCTCTCACCCCAATGCCTCTACCTTCCTTCTACCGTTTCTAAGATAAACATTTCTACATTTTAAAAAAGAATAATCCCTTGAAGTGGATGCACAGAATATTTTTTTTGGTAAAATATACCTATTTACTAAAAACAAGCTTTCATTTCTCAGTATATCATTTTGACACCCAGATAAACCTCCCTAGCAATGGGGAAAGAGATGTACTTGGTTCTAGGATAATGGGGGTAAATCAACTTCATGCAAATTGTGAAGTGAGATCACTTGTGTAAAGCTCTTTGCAAACCTAAAAGCGCTACCTTAATGCTAACGACTATTATTGTTATTATTATTAATTATTATGAATGCATAGGTAGCTGGAAATCTGGGTTAGAAACTGGGATCAAAATAAATCCAGCAAGGATTACTGTCATTTTTTTCCTAGGCAAGTTGTTATTGCCTCCACAGAGGCTGATGGTCGTCAGAAATGACAAAATAAAATACAAAACATTCAGAGAGCAAACGTAGAGGCAACTGTAGCTACTGCCTTAATGCATTACCTCCAATGTATGTAATTGTTTGCATATTGTCTTTCCCGTTGGTGTGCAAGCTTCCCGAGAGCGGAGACTGTCCTTTGCCTTTCTTTCATCCCCAAAGCTTTAGTGTAATGCCTGGCACTTAGTAAACGCTTAATAAATGCTTATTGACTGACTGACCTTACAGACTTTAAAAGTAGTTGGAAGGATCAACAAGAAAATTCGTTTTTATTTTTATTCTGACCTTGTTTGTTGTTCAGTCGTTTTTCAGTCGTGTCCAACTCTTTGTGACCCCATTTGCGGTTTTCTTGGCAAAGATACTGAAGTGGTTTCCCGTTTCCTTCTCCAGCTCATTTTACAGACGTGGAAACCGAGGCAAACAGGGTTAAGTGATTTGCCCAGAGTCACACAGCTAAGTGCCTGAGCCGCATTTGAACTCAGAAAGATGAATCTTAGTAAACATCAAATTGAATGTGCATTTTAATATAGATAGTAGAAAAGTGGGACAGAGAGAGAGAGAGAGAGAGAGAGAGAGAGAGAGAGAGAGAGAGAGAGAGAGAGAGAGAGAGAGAGAGAGAGGGAGAGGGAGAGGGAGAGGGAGAGGGAGAGGGAGAGGGAGAGGGAGAGGGAGAGGGAGAGGGAGAGGGAGAGGGAGAGGGAGAGAGAGAGAGAGAGAGAGAGAGAGAGAGAAGTGCACATTCAACTACAGATCTCTATTACTGCACAGCTTGCTTCTCTTTTTAAGGTATTTAATAGATCAACCTTTGGCTTTCAAAACTGTCCTGCTTCACTGGCTTTCTTTCTGTTGTTTTCTATTTATTAAAAAAAAAAGTCTTCATGAGGAAGAACCAAAAGGAAACTAATTATATCTTATTTGTTGGGACCGGTAGAAAAATCCTACCCGAATGATTCATGCTAGCGTGGAGGCAACCATGGGTTCTCAGAGGCTATGCTAGAAAGTCAGAGCATTGGAAGGTCCTTAGAAGGTAGAGATGGGTTAGTATGGGCTGCTTAGCACATAAGTGCCCAGTATGGCACCAATTTAACTAACTACTAAAGGCTGGCCATCAGTTGATGGGGTTTTTTAGCCATAAATTAAATACAAAATGCCCCTCAGTTGTATGTCCTCCTTCACCTCTCCCACCTCTTTCAACTTCCAAAAATGATTATAACCGAATAGTAGAAAAGAGGACTAAGAACCACAAAGTCTTTGGCCTATATAGAAACATAAATTTAACATGACCAACTGTTTTTGCACATTTCTACCTGTATAGCAGTACAGGACCTGGA